CTAGACATTAAAGTTAAAAACCCATTACTCCTATTTTAAGACTAGTGAAGCTGGCCTGATGGAAGTTTAAAACCAAGAACTTGGATACCAAAGTGAAGAAAGTAAAAGGGCCAAGGAAAAAGAAGCCAATGTTATGGACCTTGCCCTCTAAGGTCAGTTAGGACACAGGGAAAGACAGAAAACTCTAAGGGCACTGCAACTCCAGTAATTAGCCCAACTTTCTGGTCAGGAGGATCATGAGGACCCTAGAGAGCAGGAAGCCAAACAGTGCACACTCTGCAAAGAGGAGGCTCATCAAAGAGCGAAATGTCCCTGATGTTTCTAAGGGATGCCACATATTGTCAGCAAGACTTTGACCCATCTGGACAGATGGCATAATAGATAGAGAAAGACTAGAGGAGCCAAGAGACTTCTCACACATTCCCAAGAATGATCTCTGAGGAATCTCAGTTGACCCTAAGAGTAGATAAGAATGAGGTCAAATTGACCAACTTAGTCTTAAACACTTGGCAAGAGAGTAAAACCAAAGCAGACTCAAACCTGGACGTTAAAAATGAAAGAAAATTTTTTTAATGTGACTTAAGATGTACACATGGGTCAGCCCTACCCAAAGTAAGTAAAGTTGAAAGCTCTAAAGAAAGGGTTCTTATATGGTAGTGCCTAATAATAACGATCACAAATGACTCTAAAGTCACAAGTTTGTCCCATGTTTCAGAGACTGACTGAAATGCTTTTGTTCTCATTGCTTACAAAAAAAGTAATGCATTGCTCTCTTGTTTATTGTGTCCTCGTATAATCCCTATGCTATGTATGACTCATGAAGTCACCCACCACCTGCCATCATGGACCTCTGGACTGCCCTGATCCTAAATACTCTTAGCTGTCCATGCCCCACCTGATTTTTAAAAAAAAGAAAGAAAAGAAAAGGAGGCCTTTGGGTCACTTCCCCATTCAACTTCACACTCTCAGCAGGAAGGAGCTTTGAGATGTCACCGCCCATTTTACCATAGAAATGGAATGTAGAAATTGACCTTGGGGAAATGCCCACCTCATGCTTTGATATAGCCCTTGCTGCTCTGCCATTGATACTTATTTTAAAAGTGGACAGGTTTTCTTTTCTTCTTCTCCCCACCCCCCAGGTTGGGGGTTATGTGTGTGGAAAACAGGATTACCCTTTCCCCATCCTAGGCTGAGTTATCTTTCTTTGAGCACACACCCACCATAGAAACCAAGAAATTAGAGTTCAGGGATGACCCCAGAAGATCTAAGAAAGGGATATCTCTCAAATGAACAAATGAGCTGGGCACAATGGCACAGTCTTGTAATCTCAGGAGGCTGAGGCAGGAGGATCGAAAGTTCAAAACCAGCCTCAGCAAAAGCAAGGTACTAAGCAACTCAATGAGACCCTGTCTCTAAATAAAAGACAAAAAGGGATGGGGATGTCTCATTGGTCAAGTGCCCCTGAGTTCAAGTCCCAGTACCCCCAAAAAAATGTTTCCCTCAAATGAACAAGTGAATAACAACCCCTGCCTCCCTACATACACACATCCAGGGAATGCCTAGAATGAATCACTTCTTTAAAATTTTCTGTTCTCCCCAACGAGCAGAATCACAGCCACTGGGACAGGAGTTCTCTATGTTTCTCCTTGCTAGGGAAGCAATAAAACTTGTTTTTCCTTTTCTTCAAAACATTGTCCTCATTATAGAATTTGCATCAGGGACAAAAACCAAGTCAGTAACAATCCCTATAAGAGCTTTGAACTCAGGCCATTTAAGACTTGATGGAACAATATGATGTTTTCCCTTTCTAAACTGAAACCCTGTACTATTATCAAATGGGAAATTTTATGAACACTATATAAATAACAGTGTTATAATTGTTTTTATTATTAGCCACATCTGTATAATGTATTTCATCCCAAAGGAGCAATGGGTAATGATTTCAAACCAGCTCCTCTCTAGAGTATAGCAGAGCTGATAAACCCAACTGCTACCAGAGATTGGATTATACCCCTACCTTGGGATCTCATTAGGTGCCAGAGTGATCCTTTGGAGAACTTGTATTTATGGCATAGGATTTCCACTTGGTTATATCCTACCAGGCAAAGTAATGCCTGTGTCTTTCCTGCAACCACAGTGTAAGGAGGATTAATGAGATAATCCCATTGTAAAACATATTGACATCAAAAGCAGAAATGGGAGTTGTGGGTCCTGCCTGTTGGGAGAGGGTGAGACCCACCACCATGTTCTAAGCTACCCCACACAGATCTAGCCGCTCCCTCCCCTTCTCTATGGATTACACCCTTTTCTCTGGTACATATCACAGTGCATTGGGAGTGTCTGACAATTCATGTCTTATACATCCTATTATCCCCAGAATTCACGTAGCTATAGGCAGAAAAGAAGCTCAATAAATATTTGTCAAAGGAGTAATAATATGCCAATGATTTTTATTATAGTTTGAGTGTTCTTTATCTAAAATTCAGGACCCAAAGTGTTTCAGATTCTGAATTCTGTCAGATTTTAGAATATTTGCATAGAATCCAAAATGCTCCAAATTAAAACTTTTTAAATGCCATGTTGGCAACTCAAAAAGTTTCAGAGTTTGGAGCATTTTAAATTTTGGATTTTTGGTTTAGGGATGCTCAATCTGTACCAAAAATTATTACCTCAACTCAACATGACTTTCTTTTAGTTAATGCCACTCTATTTAGTTCAATAGGAGGGATACCAGTAGGACTAAGTGTAATAAGGAGAAGCAGATAGTCATCTTTCCTCCCCTTGGTGACCAAAGTTTCCTTGTTAAAGCAATAATCCAGTGCTTTAATGGTCGTTATTGACAGTTGATGCCTCGTAAGAGTTAGGAATTAAGACCTACAGAATCACCTTTGCCATTGGCTTTCACAGGATGGAAAGTGATACAGCTAATAAGAGAATGTGCCACTCATCTAGAATATGTTAGCTAGAATGGTGTCAGCTCCAATGTGGACTGAGATTCTCACTGGTTGGCCCATATCTTTTTAAGTGACTTGATTGTAAATAATATAGGTTTAGCAGAGTGCGTATAGCTCATCTGGATCCCCATAACACTGCTTACTATCTCACATGTGACTCACTTCACAAATTTAATGCAACCTACCAGGCCATGGCAGACAGATGAATTTCTGACCCTCATCTGCTTCAACCACCTTTCAAATTTTCTTTTCTGGTTAAGGCTGTGGGAGGCAGCCTTCTAATGTACCTTCCAATGGTCCCCACCTCCTGTTATCCACATTCTGTGTAATTCCTGCCACTTGTGTGGGAGCTAAATCTAATAACATGCTTTCAATTTACAGAATACAGTAAAAATGATTTCAAAAACGGCAGTTCCACACATAGATTAAAAAAGACCATGGCTCTGTCTTGCTGGCACTCTCAGTCTCTTGCCTTCTTGGCTGGCATACTTTTATAAGCAAAGCTCCTACATGCAAGGAATGATGGTAGTTTCTGGCTAGTGGTTAGCAAGGAATTGAATGCTTCAGTCCAGCAACCCATGAGGAACTGATTTCTGATGACAACCACTAGGTGAGCTAAGAGGTGGATCCCACTACAGTCAAGCCTTGAGATGCCTGGGGAACCACCCACATCTTATTACAGCCTTTTGGACAGACCAGAATGAAGAATATGGAAAACAACATCCCCTAAGCAAAGAGAAATGACAGCCCACAGGGAGAAAAGGAGGACAGTGTGATCTGGGAGGGGAGGAGGGGAAGGCAAACAATGGGCTCGGGGCTCTGGACTTTCATCCCAGTATTGTGAGTTTCAAGCTTTTACAACTGTTTTCCTGAGTTAGATCTTTAACTTGCACCATTACTTTCCTGACTGCCCAATCAGCATATTCTCAGTCTCTAATGATTAAGTCACACTAAACATTCTGCTATGATTAACTGTCACTAAAACCTATAAAAGACAGACTCCTCTTGTAGCTAGTCACCATTTTCACTCCTGAAAATGTGCCATGTGCCATTTCACTTCTGCTTATTACAGACTGCTTGCTGATCCGTTGAGGTCTGCTCCTGTATCAGTTATTTTTGCTTACGCTGAGATGATGCTTTTATTGCAGCTAGGGAGAAACTTGGAAGTAGAAGACCCAGCTGAACCTTATCCAGACTCCTGACCTGCAGAAACTATGAGATAATGGAAGTGTGTTGTTTTACACTCTTAACTCTGTGGCAACTTATTATGAAGCAATAGATAATGCAGTGCTGCATAATGAGAGTTGGTCAACAGTGGACCAAATCTATTAGTCCCCGAAGACTACGATGAAACATTAAAGTAGCTCCAATTGACCTATTTCCCAGTGATGTCATAGGTAAATTCCTAATTTCATAGCACAAGTACAGGATGTCATGTGTTTGTGGTGACGTGAAGAAAACAAACATACTGCACCACCAGTCGTATAAAAGTATAGCATATACAGTTAAGCACATAATGCTTGATAATAATAATCAGTACGCTACTGATTCAAGTATTTACTATGCAATTTATGATTATTTTAGAATGTATTCCTTCTACTTAGAAAAAAAGTGCACTGTAAAATTGTGTTGTGCTACACCAGCAGCAGGCTCATTCGTCTCTTGTTTAGTGCCTCCTGTGACTGCAGTTGAGAGGCCAGCCTGAGTGACTGACATAGGCCATCTAGGTTTGTGTGAACACACTCATGCATGATGTGTTCAACATTATTTTAGACAAAAATTGTCTAAAAATTTCTCAGAACATATTTCTATTATTAAGCAACACATGACTGACTATATGACAGCAGGGTTAATAAGTAGAACCTTGGTCTTCTGATTCTTTTTTCCATTTGGTACACTCACTAAAGGTACTATTGTCAAGGTCTTAAGCCAGAGGCTCAATCCTGGAGGTTCCAACAAATCAGTTCCAGTTATTCCAAAAACCAAATGGCACATGTAATGAAGGGTGTGAAGCAGAAAAGGAACTTTAATTGATATGGCCATATTAGGAAGGCAAGTAAGTGGCACAGCCCTAACTTCAGGTATACTAACATGAGCTTTAGGTTTAAATAGAGGAAGAAAAGAGGAGTAGGCATAAATGGGGGTAGGAAAGAATAGTATGCATAAATAAGTAGTCTTGGTCAAACTGTGGTCTTGTTGATCATTATCTCAGTTCTGTTTCTATGCGTGACTCTGGAGAAGTCCTTACTGCTAAATGAGCAGTAAGTCTCCGTTTGCTTTGGAGATGTCCTCTTATCAGACTTGTGATCCTAGGAGAGGGAAATTCAGTTCCCATGTGATGATCTGTCCTCCTTAGGGTGGCAGTCTCATCATGGGGTGTTTAAGGCTCCCCTGTTCCTGGAAGATGAATGGATATGACTGACGGCTTCTGTACCCTGTTTTCAGGGGTTTGGAACAGGACACTGTAAAAGCTGGCAGTTGAATGTCCCTTCAAATCTTACAAATGCCTGAGTCCCTGTTCTCTTGGTGTCTTCAGCCTTGAAGGGGGTAGATTACCAGCTTTAGATGAACACTCCTTAGATGAGTAACCTGCCTATGTGAGAGCTGAGCAGGAAGCTTAGTCAACATTTAAGATAATAAAGAAGACCGATATAAAATGAAGGCAGAAATGCCCAGCTTTATACCACTTTCAGTTACCCATTGGGCTTTTTCAGGCCCAAGTGAAGAGTCAGTGCTTTGTAGCAAAGGTGCCCCTGTAAGTTCTTGTTACAATATTGGCGGCACTGAGCCCTCTTATCAGCCACCAAACACCCAAGCTATCAAGCTCAGTGGAAAAGGAATCCTCCTGAATTTTCGGCTTCACAAGCATTAAAATAGCTCCAATTGATCAAAAACCTAGCAAGAGAGAATTTTAAAATGAACACATGTCATTAGAGTGTTGTGCTTGAAATTATTTCTGTTTCTGTTTAGGGAGGGAATTTGGTTCTTTAATGTTACTTCCAGAAATTTGTCCATATTGGGGACACACACACACACACACACACACACACACACACACACACACACCACACACACACACACCACACATGATACATATTTATCTTTTCCTCTGCCCCCACTGTCCATCATATTGCAGAACACTGCAGACCGGCAGGGAGCAGGGAGCGGGAAAGCTCCGTGTGAGACTACTCAGCTGATGATGACATTGCTGGGTCCCTCCTGTCCCTCCAACATGATCTAGAAGGACAGAGTCGTGGTCTCCACATCAGGAGAGCTCTCTGGCTTCCTGGCTTTATCATTCATCCTGACTTCCTTTCCCAGCCATGGGTTGGGGCCAGTCCTTCGTCCTGCCATCTTCTGAGATTATGAATAATTCCCTCCCTTCATTTATATTGCTTCTGTGAAGTGTAACTTTATCATGTTCCTCCAGAGCCTTCTCTTTTTCTAGGTTATATAAATTTAGCTCCTCACCCTCCTTTCATAACTTGCCCTCCAATTCTCTTGCCGGTTTATTAATTTTCCTTCATTTCTTGCACATATGCACAGGTACACACCCTTTTGGCATGGTGAAGGGCCATGGGAAACACAATGGGAAAAAAAATGGGAAAAAGCCAAAATTTAAACCAATAAGGGGAAAAATGGGAAATGCCTTTAGTCTGATAGTAAATACATGGAAACTTGTTAGGGGGAGGCCCATTAAAAGATTGTCATTTGGAAAAGGTTATGGTTTGGGGAAATTCTATTCAATTTCTTACAATAGAGAGCACTAATTAAAATCCGCCTGTAAGATGTTTTCAACTTGTGCCTGAGGGCGAGGGCCAAGAGATTTCTCTCTCTCTCCTGCTCCTTCTCCCCACCCCCCATTTTTTCTTTTCCAAAATTGGGCTTGCTGTGCTCCTAGGGGTGAAAGAGGGTGTGATGCTAACTCTACCTACTGCTTAGGGGTGCCTGCAAGGCTGCCGGAGTAATCCTTTGTCTACTCTGAAAGTCTGCATGAGTATCAGGGTGCACGTGACCCCCACACACACACACCTGCCTCTGAGCGTCTCAGCACGGCCCTGCACTGGAAAAGCACACCTCCACTCCTTCATTTCTTTACAGAAAGTACCTGAGGCAGAATCAATGAATATATACCTTGTCTTTGTTTTTTTTTTTTTCTCAAAACTCAGGGTTTTTTTTTTCCTTTTATGATTTCAAAAGCTTTGTTTCATTTTTAATGATTTCAAAAGCTTTGTTTTATTTCTCTCTCCCTATCCCCTGGCTCTAATCTTTCTGTTCCAGAAAACTAAAAATGAAAACACTGTGTGACCTGGGATTTAAATGCACTTTGGATTTAAATGCACTTTCAGCATCAGGGACGAAGAAGAATGGCATTTCTAGACTTCCCCTGTCATAATAAGGAACTCACTGCATACTAGGAGGTGAGATTTTACACAGAGTGAAGTCTGGGAAACAATAATAACATGCTTTTAAACAAAAGTTCATGGGTACACAGTCACTTCATACCTGAAGACCTTCTAGAGGTTTTACTCTGCATTGTCAGTAAAGCAAAGGTTCAGATATGGCCAGTTGCTACTTTGTTAGTCACAGAAATGAGGCTGGACTCAAGAATGTGGTTCTGCAGAACAGTCACCTGGTGCAGCTGCCTATGAGAAGGGAGATAATGGAAGATTTCACCTTTCTCTCATTATGTCTCTTTTAGCTCTTAGGCTACTACTTAAGTTTTGTAGCTTTTACACTTACTCTAAGAAGATGGTACTTATCTTTGCAGGAACCAAAATGTTATTCTAAAAAAATGCCAAATTACATTATTCTAGACCTATAAATGACTTCACCTGATCAATAGGTCTCCACAAGTTTACCCAATTTGATTTTTAGCAGGTTTGATTTTTAGTATTTTGTAGATGGACTGTCTATGGTCCCATCAGGTAACCAGCAAGGAAGATGATAGCTGGTCCTTAGAGACTAGGCTTGGCCTGCACTGTGTGTGGTCTGAGCTTGAGTGGCAAGTAGAGCAGGGTACACAGAAATTGTTATGAATTAAATTGTGCCCTCTCCAAATTTGTATGTCGAAACCTTAAGACTCAATATCTTAGAATGCGACTATATTTGGAGATAGGATCTTTTAAGTGATGATTAAGTTTAAAATCAAGCCTTTTGGGTGAACCCTAGACTAATCTGTTTTTTTTTTTTTTTAATTAGAAGAGGAGATTAGAATACACAGAGAGAGACACCAGGGACATACATCTACAAAGAAAAGCCATGAGATGACACAGCAAGAAGTGGCCACCTACAAGCCAAGAACAGAGGCTTCAGGAGAAACCCATCCTGCCAACACCTTGATCTTGGACTTCCAGCCTCCAAAGAGAACTGTGAAAAAATAGACTTCTGTGCTTTGGGCCACCCAGTCCATCACGTTCTGTCATGGAAGCCATAACAGACTAACACAGGCATCAAGGTGAGAGCAAAGACCCAACAAAACATGAAGACATGGAAAGATAGTGGGAGCCAAGTGAGACACACATGAAGTTCAACTCCTGAGGAACGATGGGTCACAACCCAGAAGGAGCCCTGAAGTAAGGCAGGGAGTTAACCACAATTTTCCAGTCCTTTGACTTATAAAGTGGGCTCTGTCTCAAAAGACTCAACAAGGCACAACCAGTAAAATATACCAAGTCTAATAGATGCTTTGCCTGTCACACGTGGAATAAAATGGATCTTGTCCCTCTTCTATAAACAGGGGAGGAAGATTTAGCCAAGCAAGATGTTCTCAGTGAAGCAGAAAGAAGACAGATCCACAAAGTACGACGCTTTGGGATTAGGATGATCCTCTAAGGAACAGGAAGTGGGTACACAGATGCCACAGGTTGTGCGTGTTATTATGTCTGTGGTGCACGAAGCAACACATCCCTCCAAAGATGCTCACATCCCAGTCCCCAGAACCTGTGAATATGTTACCTTACGTGGCAAAAGGCTTCACATACGTGATTCACAGCTCAGACCTGGAGAAGAGATGATCCTGGCTATTCAGGTGGACCCAGTGGAATCCCGTGGGTCTTGAGAAGAGGGAGTGAGGAGGCCAAGGGTGGTGGAGTATGCCTGTAATTCCTTGCTGAGGCAAGAGGATCGCCAGGTTCAAAGGCAGCCTGGGCAATTTAGTAAGATCCTGTCTCCACATTAAGTAAACAGGACTGGAGATGTGGCTCAGTGGTAGAGGGCCTCTGTATTCAATCCCCAGTCGTGGGAGGGGTGGTGGAAGGGAAGCAAAGAAGCTTGTAGAAGGAAAATGTAGTATCACAACAAAACCTGAGGTTGGAAGATGCAGGAAGGGACTGTGAGCCAAGGAATGTAGGCAGTGTCTAGATGCTGGAAAGGAAGGAAATTCTCTTAGAGCCTCCAAAAGGAGCCAACCATGTGAATACCTTACCAGTGAGACTGATTCTGGACTATGACCTCCAGAACTGTATGGTGACAGCTTTGTGCTGTTTTAAGCCACTGAGTTTGTGGTAACTTGTTACGGCAGCAATAGAAAAGCAAATATTATGTCTCTAAACATCTTCTCTCCCCCATTCTTCTCTCCCTCTCTCCTCCCACCACCCCTTCTCTGTCCTCCCTCACTCTCCCCTGCTTTCCCTTACCCACCTCATCTTCCTTCTCAATCTTCCCCAGTGGTTTTCTATCCGTTGTAAAGCATGAATTGCCAGAAGCTACCCTGTGGACAGTGCTGTGTATTCCTTGGCCTGTAATTCTCACTCTGGCCACAGCTTTGAAAGTCTTTCCCAGCCCAAAGGTCCAGGTGCTGAGCAACAGCTGCACTCTTTGTTTGAGGGGGCCTGTCTGCATGGACAACTTCAAAACACACAACAAAAACGGGCCGTGGACCTCCTGTCTTCAAATAAATCCTATTTTATAAATTTCAAGAAAGTCCAGACACTTGCTCTGGGCCTTCCACGCTCTGGGCTAACCTGTGTGGAGTAGGCATTTTCATTCCTGTTTCCCAGGTGGGAAAATGGATACTGGGGAAGACAAAATAGCTTGTCCAAGGTTGTAGAAACAGAGGCCTATCTAATTCCAAGGATTCATAAAGATGAATGTTTGTGAAGTAAGATTCTCATGGATAAATAATAATGGTATTTATCTTGGTCCACTAGGTAAAGCATAATAAAAATTTCATTCTGAGTACAGTGATTTTATATGATCTGCTTTATATAGGGCTCTGATTTGGGCAGCAGTTTGCTATAATGAGCTTTGGAGTCAGAGAGCCCTCACTGAACTCAAGCTTTAGCTGTGAGACCTGGAATAGTATAGCAAAGTGGCTATAAAAGCAAATTACAACCTTCGACCCATTACTCCCACCCCTGGGTCTTTAGAAAGGAAAGGACCAATCACATAAAATGACACATTCAAGGATGATTATGCAGATTTGATTATAGTAAAAGGGAAAAAGGGAGAAGCAAATGTATATCATAATGGAATGCTAAATAAATGAGCTATGTCCAAACCATGGAATATTATGCAGTCATTAAAACAATGAACTAGATGCACACGAGGTAATTTGGAAAGAATTCCACCAAGTATTGTGTGGAAAGAAAGACAAAATTCAGAAAAATGTACGTAATGTAAGACCATTTTTTATATGTCAATGACAAAACCCCTGTGCGTGAGATTACATGAGCATGGAGAAAATATTACAAACCACACAAAATCTTAGTTTTTAAAGATTGCAATAAAATAGTGTTAGATAAGTCTGTGACAAGATAAAATGCTTCAATCATAACCCCAAAGCTAGCATTATGCTTACTGATAAGCACTAAAACATTCCCAATAAATTCAGAAGTGGAACTTGTACCAGAAGTAATAACCAACACAACTGGGAAAGGAAAAGAAACCATAACTCTAAAAATTACAAAGAAGGAAAAATTATCATTATTTGCAGAGACTATGGCCATATACTTGGAAAACAAGAAAACTAACTGAATCTAACAGGGTCAATAGCAAAATTCAGAAAAGTGCTAGGGTATGAATATGAAGCATTAGCTTTCATATACACATGTATACATTCTACTACCATATGGATGATGTAAGAAAAAAAAATGAATTTAACAGCCAACCAAGACAGGACAGGAATTATTATAGAGAGCCCTTAGTAAAGAAATGTATAGTACAACTGAAGACCTAAAGACATTTAAAAATGGACATTAGATTGGGTAGAGAGAAGTGATGGGAGGAGAGGGGAGGGGAAAGGGGGAATGGAAGGACAGCAAAATAAAACAGACATTATTATTGCTGTGGGTATATACGTGACTGCATGACCAATGTAATTCTACAACCTGTACACTCAAAAAAATGAGAAATTATATCCTATCTGATTCAAATGTATGATATGTCAAGATAATTCTACTCATGTGTAACTAATTAAAACAAAAAAATTTTTAAATGGAAACAATATGTACTATAACAAAGATTTTCATTTTCCATAAATTAATTTATAAGTTTAATGCAATCCCAAGGGGAAAAAAAGCTTTCTTTTAAAAAACCAGACAATGTGATTCTAGAACTCACATGGACACATGAGTTGGAATAACCAGGAAAATTCTGAAAAAAAAAATGGGGGAGAGGCAATTAGGTATATTAGATATTAAAACATTTAAAATCTTCAGTTATTAGAACAGCATGGTGAGAATATGCAAATAGACAGACTTACAGAATGGAACAGAAAAGTTTGAAAATGACATGTTATCTATATAGAGGTTTGAATTCACTCTAAGAGAAAAAAGTTATCTCAAATCATCCATGAAATAATTCAGTAAACAGTATTGGGAAAAACTGAAAATCAATCTAGATGTATGTAAGATTAGATGCATTCTTCAACTTAAGAGGTAGAATTGTTTCCAAATCAATTAACAATTTAAATACAAAAACTGAAACCATGAGATTTATAGACAAAAACATAGGAGAATCATCTTCACCTTGGCATTGTATTGATCTCTCTAATCAGGACTAAATTTTAGAAGACTGATAATTTTGACTCTAAACATTAGAAATTTGCATAGGAAAATACTACACATAAGGTCAAAGGACAAGAGACCAGCAAGGAAAAGCTGTTTGTAAATCATCACAAGAGTTACATGGAGAAACTCCCAGTGGAGAGAGGGACACAGGGCACAGATCACTCATGCAATAAAAAGGATATGCAGATACTTCTCAAACATTTGAACAGATGTTCATCCTGTTTCTCTATCAGAGAAATAGTTCAAACTACCCTGAGTTATCAATTCAATTATCAAGTCAACCGAGGAGGACAAGGGCAGTGTCTGCTAAAGTTTCCATCTCTGACCCAGCAACACAGCCTACAGGTGCACTGGCACTTGGAGGTGAAAGCACATGGTATATGGGAAAGGGTATTTCGGCATCATCCATGGGAATCAAAAATTGAAAATAGCTGGGCATGGTGGCACATGCCTATAATCCCAGTGGCTCAGAAGGCTGAGGCAGGAGAATCTCAAGTTCAAAGCCAGCCTCAGCAAAAGCCAGGCACTAAGCAACTCAGTGAGACACTCTCTATAAATAAAATACAAAACGATTCAGTGGTCAAGTGCCCCTGAGTTCAATCCCTGGCACCACCAACCCAAATTGAAAACAATTCAAGTTACCATTAATCAAAAACTAGCTAAATAGAGTCTGTGTTTTAATTTATAATTAATCGAATACAATGCAGACTTTAAAGGGAGTTAAAAACTCTTCATGCTCAGATTTGCAAAGACTTTTAATATATAGTTAAATGGAGAAGAAAGCAAGGTGTGGGATTGTGTGTACATGTTCCCCTTAGTATACAAAGACAGAAGTAAATCCATATGCCTAATCCTCTAGAAGGAGTCACACTAGATTAATAACCATGGTTACCTTTTAGAAAGAAAACTTTTGCTTTCTGAAATCTAAGAATATATTACCTACTGAAAAATTAAATAGATAAATATTTTAAAAGTTTTTCTGCATTGATTTTTTTTTGCCATCAGTATATCTTTATTTATATAATAAGAAAAAAAAGTGGTTTTCTTGTGAGAGAAAAGGGTACTTTAGAGTCCATATTTTGAAATTACACTAAGTGACTTCAATTCCCTTTCCACTCTGAATGGGTGACTGTAGGGAAGGTATTTAACCCCTGAAGCCTTACCACCAAAGTACATGTAATTGTACCTCATAGATTGTTTTGAAGATTTGCTGTGATAATGAACAGTGCTGGGCTCGGAGTCAGTCCTCAATAAATATCACTTATTATTCCCTCCTAGGATTGCTATGGAGAGGAGTACATGAAATAATGTAGCTAAAGCCACTGATGCAGAGCAGGCGCTCAATGAATATTCATGGCCTTCTCCTTCTCTTCCAATTCCCGGATTGCCTACCTAATGATAGGCCTCATTGCTGGCAAATGTTCCCTGTCTTCTAACAAAGTTCCAGAATCATCTTTCTTGACAATGTGCCATCATAAAAGCAAGTGAACCTAAAAGCCATAAATAGTAATAAATAACCTGTTGTTTCAGAGGACAATCACCCCTTCTTCAGTGCACTTCGCTAGTAATTGCAAGGCACTAGACCTGGGTTTGAGCTGCTTGACTAGAAGTTGGTGAAATTCTAATTGCAGCTGAGTTATCAAGGTGATCAAGTCTTTGATGTAAACTAACTGCTATGCTTAGAAATTTTGAATGTGCAAGTGACCAAAATTTAGAGGATGTACAAAATTAACCCTGCTTTTTAACATTACCTTTTCCCCCTCTTATTTGAATTAACTGAATGTTTTCAATGGAATCTAAGAAGTCATACTAACAATGTGTCATCAGTCAATAGTTCATTTAACCAATAGTTATTAAGTACCTGCTAATTACAAAGCATGATATTGGTCTCTGTGCATGGTAGGGGAAAAAATGAATCAAAGATATGACTTGGCTTTAAAAACTGAATAACACACAAAAAAGCTAATACTTAGAGTAAGAAAATAAAATTTCATTAATTTGAAGCTTATTAACTTAGAATTTTCCCATGAAAAACAAATTATCATGCCAATAATTTACATGATGAATACATATATATATAAAATAAATACATAGAATACTAACCTACTTTTAGCGAGTGAATTTCAAGATTTTTGAAACATCCATTTGTACATACATAATGCATGTTGATTATTAATCATTCTTATCTGCTCAATAAGGGAGATCTAAGAATGTTTACTGTGCTATGCTTTATAAACAGAGTTTAATTAACATTTGAAGATATAAATCTCTCTTCAGAGTAATATAATCTATGATTTAAGTCTCCCTGGGAGCCTGGAGGAGGAGATCAGTCAGGAGTGAGGAACGGTTTGCATGCTATCTCATTTATTTCATCATGCTTCAATATGGGGAACTGCTTCCCAGGCAAGGCAACTAAGGCCTCCCTGAATAGTAAGCTGCTGCATCCCAGCTCTGCTTTTCACAGGCCCAAACTCTTTGCCCTCTTCACCCCAAAGCCTCGTTCCCCTTGCCCTTCACTGTGTTAGTGAGACAGAAGGCCAAGGCTGGGCATGAGCATGGCTCAGGATACTGGCAACTGGCCTCAGCAGAGCCTGACTCTTGCCATGGTGTCCTTTGTGCAGGGCACTGAAAAAAGATTTCAATCCCTCAGAAGGAGGTGGTGGCAGTCAAGGCAGGAAATCTATTTCCCAGGCCTCTGTACATGGCTACTCAGCTATGTGGTATGCTGAGAGTGGGGAGCTGCCATCGTTTGCAGGTTCCTTCACATTTCATACCCCAGGTTCACCTGAGCTTCCCTTCTGAAATCCCCTTTCTTCTCCACAAAATGTTCTTCCAACAGGTTGTGCCAGTTGGATTTTTCTTGTCAATATCTTCTTTTTTTCTTGACTGATGTTTCATTTGGACTTTTGCCATTTTAGAAATCCCAGGGCAACTTGGCAGGATTTCTATGTTAAACCCCTTAGAGCAAGACTATTTTGTCAGTTTCCATCTCTGCCCTTTCTTAGACTTCCTGTGCCCTCCTCCGGACCTGTACTCTCTCTCCCCCATGTGAAGGAGCCTTTAGTGGGTCTGACACACAACACAGGGGAAGAACTCTGAGGTCAGGTGGAGAGGAACAGATACCACCGGATTCTTTAAGTAAGTCCTTCTGGATTTGGCAGAATAAGCTCTGTGTCTTTGACTGATGAGAACTAAAATTCTGGTCAAAATTTAAACTTCAACTGCTTAGAGACTCTGAAAAGTAAATGGTAGCAGATGGATAGGCAGAGAAGTCAGAATTTAAAGAATGACAATGTGGTGACAATGAGTTTCCTGGAATTTTTTTTTTTTTTTGCCTTCTCTTCTTTTATTTCTGGGTTTCAATAATCAATACAGGGAAACTCTAGCAGGCGTAGACCACAAAACTCCAAGACAAATCTCATCTTTCTGGCAATAGGATTGGCAACAGGGGCCCTTTTCAAGCTGTACAGTGGGAGATAATCCTTGTGGTTATTTCCCTTCATCTTTGCCTACTGGTCTTGCTCCAAGGTCAGTCATATAGTTACAGTCCCACAGTCACATGAACTTCTAAAAGCCCCCTAGAGGAATGAGAAAAATAGGCTCCTTTTGTACAAAGAGTGTGGAGAGAAATTTTGGCATTTTTCTTTCTCTTTCTCTTTCCTCATTTCTCTTGGAAGGAGAGGTGATGGTAGACACACTAGAGGGATAGACACAGATCCCAAGTTTACCCCCAAGCTGGGCATGTGAAGCACACACCCAAAGAAGCACAAGCTTTGAGAAGTGAATTCCCATATAATCCACTGTCCAAGTCCAGTACTAACCTTTCAATGATACATGCCAGAGCAGACTCAAACAGCATAGCAGAGGCTTTGAAAATTGAAATGTCAGTTGGAATCTACCACCTCATAAGGCAAGACGGGTTCATTACCTGCTTAAAGAAGCAAACAGAAAACCTATTTTCTCCAGAATATTTTAATAAGACACAGAACTTCACAGAATAATGTACAAAGTGTTCAGAATAAACTCCAAAATTACTTGACCTATAAAGACCAGAAAAGTCTGACCTATTCACAAGTAAAAAACAGATGCCAACCCTGAAGATGATCCACATGTTGGAATTACCAGATAAACAGTTTAAAGCAGCTGTTGCAAACATACTTCTTGAGATAAAACTGGCTAGAGCATGCTGCAGAATAGGAAGGAAAGACAATTTAATTGCCTGCTCTCTCTCATCTCCTAAACACTGGTCAGAGTGTGACTGCAAGAGATTAACACATCTTCACTTTTTGTTTTCTCACCCAGCCCCTTTGGCAGACCCTTGACAATCCCTTGGCAAATAAGAGACCATGTCCTACATCAGGAGTCAGGAAACTTCTGCTGTGAAGAACTGGATAGTAAACTTTAGGGTTTGTGGACCATGCAGTCTCTTTCACTACTGCTGAACTCTGCCATTATAACGCCAAAGCATACATACACAGTACATAAATAAATGGGCACGCAGTGTTCCAATAAAACTTTATCTACCATAGCAGGCAGAGGGCTAGATTTCAGCCACAAGTCATAGTTTTCTGATCCCTGTTTTATAGGATAACTCTTTTTCCAAATCAAGAAGTAGCAAAGGGAATCGAGAAACTCTGGGATGATGGGGTACATGATAAAACCAATGAAGCCTGTGATTATGAATCAATTTTTCATCGCCTTTTCCATAAATTATGTACATCAGTCTGAGGCAATATTGTGCAGGATTTTATGACAATATATTAGGCATTCTGTAAGCCCACAGGTGGCAAAGACACTGTGGATAAGAAGGGCAAATCCACATCTGGAGTAGCATGCAGTCTCAGTAAGGAAAAATCATTACCCTCTGTAAAGTGAAAGGGATCCAAAATAATGGAGCTGCCACAGAGTGGCTGGTTTTCCCAAGGGTATGCCACTTTGAGGGCTCTGTGTGGTCACTGCTGGGATAGGTTGGCCTTCACCAATAACTATACGATCGTTGATGGGGGCGCCAGTGTCATGATCATTACGGCATCCATTTCTGCCATCATGGGCACTCTGTTCCCTGGTTCACTGCAGAAGCACTAAGGGAGCCAATGAAAGGCTGATGTGTAGTCATAGGATGCATCATTCTGGCTGTTGATGGATGTTGCTGCTGGTGATGATCTGATGGGCACTAACGTGAAAACCAAAGATTCATCCATCTGCTTTCTCATAGGTCCATCCACACACATTTCTTAGACACCCCAGTCATTGATTTTCAGTCTTGCTCGTTCCAGTCCCCCTGCCCACAAACATCCTTCACCATTGTTCTTGATTCAGTGTCTATTCATCCTTCAAGCCACCTCTTCCCCTATCTGAAGTGAGGATACATCTGCCCTCCACAACTCAGCCCACTGGAAGAGTTTCCCTTTGCTACTTTCCTGCATGGTCACACCTGAGTAGCAGCTGTCCATGTCCAGCTAGCACCAGCTCATTGCTTGCCCTCACCACCGAATCAGATCAGAATCCTTTTCTCTTTAATTGGTTACTGTGGAGTAAAACCTTTATCCTCCAAAGAGGGAGAGTTATCAGTGCAACCAAGGCAGACAACATGGGGTCTGGGCCACCTGATTTTTGTAATTCGTTCATTCTTTAAGAGAAACTTGAACCTAGTCTCCAACAAACCACTTTCATTATACAGTGATTGGCTGCTGTGCCTGCTCTCCTGTTTGGTTTACTGGATACCTAGGTCATAAAGAGACTTCAGTTAATAGTCACTTGGTTTTCCATGGCTAGGTGCACAGTCTCTACTAAGAGCTCTTTAAACACTAGGGGTGGTTATTCCCACATAGTTCTCTGCTGTGGAGGGCATGCCATGTTCCAGAACCCTATGGACCTGCCCATAGCTCTTCCATGGCTTTCCAGAGACTCTACACATTATCTTTTTATTTTCTCTTTAAAATTTCTTCTTTTTAGTTATACATGACAGGACAGTAGAATGTATTTTGACCTATCATACATACATGGAGTATAACTTCCCATTCTTGTGGTTGTGCATGATGTGGGATTACAATGGTCATGTGTTCACACATGAACACAGGAAAGTTATGTCCAATTTATTTTACTGTCTTTGCTATTCCCATCCCACTCCTCACTTTCCCCTACTCCACCCTGTACATTCCAGCAAACTCCCTTCTTCTACATCATGGCCACCTATTGTGAAAACATATGCAGTGATTGGCTGGTGTGCCAATCAGAATTAGGTCTTTATTTTGGGGGGTTTGACTTATTACACTTAGCATCATAGTCTCCAGATCCATCCATTTACCAGCAAATGCCATAACTTCATTCTTCTTTAAGGTTGAGTAATATTCCGTTGTATATAAGTACCACATTTTTTTTTCCATTCATCTGTTAAAGAGGAGCTAGGCTGGTTTCATAGCTTAGCTATTGTGAATTGAGCTGCCATAAACATTAATGTGGCTGTGTCACTAGAGTATGCAGATTTTAAGTCCTTTGGGTAATGCCAAGGAGTGGGATAAATG